GTTGCCGCCGTTGGCCCACCGCTGCTGCCAGCAACGAAACCAGGTGGTATTTGCACAGTTGTTGGGGCTGTTGTTGTCGTTGCGGCTGTTGGTGAAGCCGACGCCACTGCAATTGAACGAATTGAATGATAATTGGCCATTGTTATCATTATGCCTTTAGGAGTGGATGCTGTTGTTATTGTTGTTGTTATGTTTTTAGTTATTGCTGCTGCTGCTGCTGCTGTTGTTGTCAGCCACAATGGTTAATTATGATAAATTAACGGTTAATTGTGTTGACGTTGACTAAACTGAGCCAAAGCCGCCGAGCAACTGCTGCTGACAGCAGCAACAGCAGCAGCAGCAGCAGCAGCAGCAATGGCGTTGCTCAATTGTCAATGGCGAAAGCAAATACTTGTTTATTGTTTTTTTTTAGAAAGAAACTAATATTTGAATGGAACACAACTTTAATAACACTCAACAGATTTAACTCTGTTTCTGGACATAATTTAACGCCATAAAAACCAAATTAAAATTAAAATTAAAATATTTAATCAGCTGTCGCAGAACCTGTACAACTTTTGTTGGATATAAGGTACACATATTATAGTATTAGCGCTACTAATATTTATTGTTTTATTTCGTTTCGCATTTATTCTTAATGTCTCGCTCGTGCGCCGTGCAGAGCCCCTTAACTCCCGCTTAGCGCCAGCTTTTCGTATGTCGGTATTTCCCTCCAATTGTCAATTAGCGACAAAAACACAAAATTTAAAAAAAAAAACGAAAAATTTCCGTTTATCGAAAACAATTCATTATAATGGCAATATATTTTCATATATTTATATCAGAAATATGTATTTAATAAGGCTAACGTCATGAATGAATTTTTGAGGAACTGCAAATGATATAGAATCTACAAAGAATGTATAGAAACAACTGACGGCTAAAAATTTGGCCAATTTGAATCCTAAACTTATTCCCAATGAACCCTAAGAGAAGAAAGTGTCCTTCGGCCATTGGCTATTCGTTTGCAGGAAATTTGTAAATCGCCGTCGGCATTTGTTGACTTTCGAATTGTGCCCAAATCTTACCACTGGATGGGTGCGGTGCCAGCGATGACAGTCGTTGGGGATGTGGCTCCATTTTCCAGTGTGCAGCCGCAATGCTAGAACCTGCAGCAGTTAGCGAGCCAAAGTCACGGTTCAAGCTCGGCTCTATCAACATGTCAGCAGCGTTTGGTCGCCTAGCTATAAATTCGATTCGTTTAGCTTGGATACAGTTGGCTTTACAGTTTCGAGAGTTTTCACAACACTGCACTAAGTGAGTGACACAGTTACGGTCACTGTGACAGTCACAGACGCGTCGCAATTATTGATTGTGGAGCAGTCACATACACGCAAATCTCTGGGCATGGAGACAGTATCGGTGGCAAACGGAAACCCAATGCGGCCAATTAAATTCATAACGTGCTCCTCACTGCACCCGCGTACATCGCCGAGCCGAATTGATGGGTTCAATCTGAGTTTGGTTATTGTTGTCGACGTTGTTCCGTTTGAACGTTGTTCACGTGAAAGCCGCTCTCAGCACACTGAGTGGCAGCCGCAAGTAGCTTGAATTTCACCTGGAACTGGCTGCGGTTGCCGCTGCTGCGACTGCTGCTGCTGCTGCTGTTGTCGGCCTCTCCACTCAGTTAGCGTTTCACTCAATGCTGTTGAGTGCTTTTGGCATGCCAACCGGTTTTTCAACTTCGGCGCGCATTCATAATGGCGGCCGTTGTCTGATGAGCCGCGAGCGTGCGAGCGGGACAACAGTATGGTGTGCAACTAGCGCACACAGTTCAAGCAATTACATGCCTCTCCCCCTCACACACAATAACTGGACGAAACGGAGCGCGCCAAGTAGGCAGTGGCCAACGCGCTCATGACTGCGTCCAAGCGTATAAACAACCAGCCTCAGGAAAAGGAAGGCAACCCCCGTCCGCATGTGCAAGGGGAAGTGCAATTTATTTATGATAAGGCCTTGCTTATGTTCAAAGTGCACTAAACTAGTGTCATGGAGTATCTGCAAGAACTAGTGCACATTTAACTACGTACTTAAAAAGTTTCAGCTGGACTGTCTACAGACATTACAACTGATTCGATTTTCTATATATCTGTACCTGACAATTATTTGAAGATAATAGATACAATTTTCCTTTTGCTAAAGACCTCATTTAATATGTAACAATGATTGTAGTTTATTATTGCTTACCTCTTACTTATACAAAATATTATACAAATTTATATACATTATAAAATGTTACTTATGTAAAAGTAGATTATTTGAATGTATAATATGGACTTTCCAATAGGAGCAAATAACAGTTAGATAATTTCTTTGATATATTAAAATACGAATAAGAAGTAGTTGTTTTAGACAATAAATAATTATTATTTATTTTCAATAGCTTCACATAAGTCAAAACAGCAAACTTAAAAGCAAATAGATAAATAAAAAATAAAAATAAATATATAAAACCATAACGAGGATTTCATTTGATTTAAAATGATCAAAGCGACTCTAATGCAACAATGCATGATTTTATTTAAATTCAAATACTTAAACAAATGTTTTATTTCTAAGATCGTAATCAATTTATTAAGTATTCATTTATAATATATCTATATACAAATTTTTTTTTATTGGCTGCATTAGCAAGACGGTATAGTATTTTGTCTGCAACGGAGAGACGAATCTAAGGGAATTGTCTAGATATAAAAGCGAGGTAAAGTATAGCTATGAACCAAATCACTAAGGAAACTAAGAAGTAAATCAATACTACTTTGAAAGGACTAAAAAAAATGTAAATATATTTTTTCAAGAATTAAATAATAAAACCATTATACCCTAACTTATCATTGACAATGGGTTCAGGGTATCAAAATGAATTCGAAACGAAAGCGACGAGGAACGTCTACTATAGATTTGCATCAGGAAAAATAATTACAATGCAACAATAAAACATATGAAAAAAAACTAAATTACCTTAAATAAAATTGTTTTTTTTTTTTTTTTTTTTAGATAGACCTCTGCAAAAGTTCAATAAACAAAGAGATAAATTTGTAAAGTTCTCTTACCTTATGTGAATTTGCGTGATTGACAACTCATAAGCAACTTTGATGAGCTGACTCACACATACACACACACACACGAACAAAGAGATAAGCACAGACTTACACATATCTATACAGGCATCGAAGTTGCACAGATTTGTGTGTTTCCTTGGCGTTTTGTGGTTTTTGGTGTGCGTGCTGAATGATTGATGCGCTGCCTGGGCAAGCCGACTCAAAGCTGCATTGGAACTGCAACTAAGCTACACTTGGCGTGATGTTCAAGCCACACAGAATGCCCGTTGGGGGCAATGGCAGTGGCAGTGGCAGTAGCTACAGTGGTGCCTACACAGAAGCCAAATTGCATCGATACCTGTGAATTGAGAATTGGCTAGCTGCCGGCGTAATTCGAAGTCGAGTCGAGCTAAAAAGCAATTACCAGTTGCCTACCTGTCTTCCATAGAACATAAATCTGCACAGTTAAAGATCGGCAAATGCTTTAAATAATGTACCAAATGGCTAACAAGTTCTCTTGCTAACGGTTAACCAATAATATGAGCTACACACACACACACTCTGCCACTTATATATGTATGTGCATATCAATGTATTCCGTACATACATACATCAAATTGTGAAAGGCAAATCATGAATGAACTGACGACGATGAAAGCTGACGATGACGCTCGAGTGCTTTTATGGCAGAGATCCAGAGCAAACGCAAACAATCGAACAGGAATAATTTACTATGTAAATAAGACGTGAGTCGAAGCTGGAGCTGGACCTGGAGCTGGAGTTGTAGTTGGAGTCAGAGTCGGAGTCGGGGCTCGAGAGTAGCGTGCGCCCTCGCGCCATCGAGTGGCACTTCAACAATCAAGCATTCACACAAGCAGATGGTTCGCAGCCGCCAGCGACCACCTAAACGAAATTTCATTTACTTTTCGCCTGTCATCACGGCGCAATCGCAATCGCTGCTGTTGCTGCTGACTCGCCCGAATGTAGATATCTATATAGATAGGTACATATAATAAATACATGTATCTCTCTACATATATATATATGTGTGTGTGTGTGTGTGCATATGCACAACGAACACTCGCTTTATTGAGTGTTTGTTTACCTAATTCGATTACCGATCGCGTCCGTTCGCCATAATCCACAAAACACTTGACCATTTGGGTGGCACATATATGAAAATACACACACACAATATGCAGATCGTCGTGCTTCTCGAGCAAGCAATCATTGCCGAGTAATAAGGTTGCTGACTTAATTCAAGCGCTCGAAAGTGGATGCCTTCCACTGGATGGGCGTGCTTGGCAAGCAGATGGAGGGATTCCTCTTGTATCTTAATGCAATTAAACGGAAAATTAAAACAGCTGTGCATCTCGGTATTTTTTGTGAATTATTCATCAATACGCTTTTGTGCTGTAAAAGCAATTATCATTAAACTTAAGGCGCAGTTCTCAATTCAAAATTCAATTTGCATCAATTTCAGCCTTACTTTTCTTAATTGATAGCAGCTTTAATCATAAGATAGTAGTTGATGAAGAAAGCTAAAAATTTAGCGGGGTTCATTTAACTCAATTATTATATAAGATATATATATAATTATATAAGATATAATATATATAAGATGTATGTATTAGAAGCTATTAGAGTATATTTAAGTTTTTTTATCTTTGTAAAAAGTCTTTATCAGCAAAATTTAACTACTTCATACGACTGCATCGCTTTCAACTTCCTTTAAATTTAAAATGATTTCATATCATTAGACATTGCACCTGCTACAAAACACCTGTTTGAATATAATTAGGTCTGTTCAATTTAAATTTCAAATGGGCGCCAACTCACAATCACACTCCCATCCCTAAAAGTGAACGAAACCATCGTTTAACGAAAACATCGATAGCATTGTTTGACGTGACAATCACAAAACAATAATATCGATAGTCGAATATCATCAACATTAGAGTCAGCCCAGAACTGCTAAAAAATTTTGTATTGTTGGAAAAATTAAATATATATAATGCGCACAGTGCTTTTGAGCAAATCCGATGAGCTCTATCTGGAAAAGTGCGCTCAGGAGCACAGTTTCTCGTACGGAATTATCATTGGTCACGTAAGTACAAGAAAGCGCCTGCTGCTCTGGCCGTCGCCACGTAGGTTTATTTTGTTGACAGCATGCATTTATATACATATGTGTGACCGCTCCCTAATTTGCAGCAAGCAGATGTCAGCAAGAGCATTGTTGTTCACCTGGCCCGCAACAGCGAGGAAGATGCCGACCTGGAAGATCTGACCGACGTGCGATTAACCATACGCGACATCAACTCACAGGCCTTGGCGTCCCAATGGCTTAGCGCCAGCAAAATGTGTCCCGGATCCTTCGACGTCATAGGTAAGCAGTGGTGCTAGTATTTATAATATATTCAATTAATCATATATTCTTTTTAATTTCAGGCATATTCATCGCTTCTGTTCGTCCGGATGTGGCGAATGAGCACAGCGAGGAGTTTAAAAATGCCAAAAAAGTGTTTTCTGATGTCTACGAGTGAGTGCCTGGACTTAACTAAATAAAAGTCTATTTTAATGTGAACCTCTCTCTATGTACGTATGCCTTTAGCTTGTTACTTAAGACCAACAACTCCTTTGGAGTCTACACCACAGACATGGCACAAACGGACTTTGTATTCCTTTCCTACTCTTTGGCCGACAAAACTCTGCTCTGCAAAAACTATACCTATGGAAAGTAAGTGAGAATATAAATCCATATCTATGGATCTGTATGTATATATAGAGATCTAATCGGGTTAGGTTGTCACTGAACTTCCACTGTTGACTTATGTATCTTTTCTTTATCAATTATCTTGTTGGCCACCCGCTTAACATAGACATTGCAAAAAAACGTATTTTACGGCAAACATTAAATGCATTATATGGTAAATAACAAATGTTGAAACTCAAGTACTTACACAACTCATTTGAATGTTTTTTCGGCCATTTTGGCCTATATTTTTCGTATACATATTAGTTCATTTTGGTAGCTGTACGACTTTTTTATGGATTGCATTTTACGTGTTTCGGTTTATCTCTAAATACATATGTATGTTGTATATTTGTAGAGCTTTACGCGTAGTGCCCTGAACTACTTTATTAATATATGCAAATATTTCTGATACACCTCTAGCGGCGGCACATTTTCAAACATGGACTTTCGCTTTGTTGAGAAACCGTTCGAGTGGATTCAGTTTGAGTGCAATTACGACTTGGATGATGTCATACCCATTGTGGACACCACGAGGCGCATTAACATTGAAGAACAGTTTCAAAACATTATATCGACGATTCGCAAATATCTAATCGCCAGCGAGGTATTCCTGCAGAACGAACTAATCGACGACACAATGGATTTGCAGACGTTCATCAAAAAGAAAAAGCTGAAGGATGATAAGCTTAAGACAAATTCGACCAGTTCAGCAGGAGGTGCAGCCAACCCATCGGCATCATCGGCCGCATCTTCAATGCATTTACTATCGCCCATTGAGAGTTCCAGCGGTGGCGTCATCAGGGCCAACATCATAATGCCCGTCAAGTGTCAGCTGGACAATCCAAAGGATATAAAAGTGCGAGAATTCAGTGGGACTTTGCGCATGAGTGGCATGATCTTCTCACGAGTGTATTGCAACCCACGAAACAGCATAGCAGACGTGAAGCGTTACTTGCGCGACGATGTGCTGCGCTCGTTGATCACACGCATCCAGGTCTACTGCGATGGTCTGACCGATCCACACGTTAGCAACGAAGCGGTCTACATAAGCGAGCCGCCGAGACGCGTGTTCTTCGCCATACCCTCGGATGGTAGCAGTACGTCGGGTAACGCGGTGCAGTTCTCTGAATACTTGTTCCGCGGTGAAGCGCCCACTGTGGTCGTAGCTCAGGCCAAGCAGGTTCTTGATGTCGAGCTGGATCCGGAGACAATTTACCTGGACGCTGAGGGGCTGCCAGATGATGTGAATTTTAATTCGATGCAAACCGACACAGAAGGAGAGGACAGTCGCAGGCTGACCAGCACAATGCCAAAGCGGGAATTGTCTCGTAGTCTCTATATGGTGGGCATTGCGGTGGCTCTACTGGTGCTGCTTGCCTCGGTGGCTCTCCATTACACAATGAACGGATAATAGTGCAAGCAGCTAAAAGCTGGCTATTGGTTGAATGTTCGACTAACCATTACACCACACGAAAACACACAGCCCAATCCATTTTGATATGGCGCAACATAAATCTTGTGATGGTTTTTTTTTATTATTATATTATAAACCAAGGTGTACTCTTACTTTTAGTAGAAGAAGTGTAAAAATGTCCCGTTATATAGTTATATTATTAAAGCCTGGACGGGCAGCATTTAATACTAATGTAATAAACTAAACTAATGCAGAACAAACCTTGTACAGGGTATTGCAATACGTGAGGCGTATCGATTCAATGTCTAAATCTGATTTAAGGTTCGTCAAAATATTTTAATTTCATTCGAATCAATATATAGACGTATATCTGGCATACCAGATTGCAGATTGCAATTTGTTTATATATATTCAATGTGAATCCGATAATAAACAGCAAAGATTTCGTTGCTGTAAACAAGCGCGTGAAATATATTCGAAAAGAATTTCTCTGTTTACTAACGATCTAAACAGAATTCACAATCTGCATTCGGATATTAGGTTCAATTCTGTTGCTCATAGTTGACTCACATTAAGCTATGCTTTGTTTATAGTAGAGATAATAAATAAACTACGTTTAGTTAGAGAAAAGAAAACATTATTCAAACGCTACTTAGAAGAGTGCCTATTTGTATTTACAGAATGAGTGGGCCCAGCTGTTGGGCTTAAAAGTAAACAAGTATCTCACAGCCTCTGAAACATAACGACTTACGGGCTAAATAAATATAACTACTATATCTATCCCTCTAATCTAGTGCAACTTGCAGTTACCATTGCAGTTGACCACCGACCAGACCCAGTCCACGTAGTTGGGCACCTTGGCGTAGATGCCGAATTTGTTGCGCTTGGCGCAGCCATCGCCAAACGAAGTGATGCCAAAGATGGTCCAGGGATGATTCGGTTTAGTAGAGTCGCGACACAGCAGCGGACCGCCCGAGTCACCTGCACAGGTGTCGATGCGACCACGGCGATGACCGGCACAGAACATGTTCTAAAAGTACTCCCAGTTGTAGTAGAACTAATAAAAGATCTCAATCTGCTAAACTCACCTTAGTTATGGTATAGTCATGATAGACGCTGCGACAGTTCTCCATGGGTATAATGGGCACATCTGCTTGGTGCAGCACGCTGGTGCCCACCACGTCGCGGTTGCGTCTCTTGCCCCAGCCAATGACCGTGCAGTCCACGTTCTTGGGCAGCGGCTGATAAGGACGCGGCAGGCAGGAGTAGCCAATCCAGCTGGTGGCATTAACGGGCCTGGGCAGACTGCCAATGATTGAAATCAAATAAATACATTCCTTTAGAAATCATTGAACTGCTTACCGCAACAGAGCCACATCGCTGTCCACGGTACGCTTGTCGAAGCTCGGATGCTTGTAGCTCTTGAGCACTCGCAGCTGCACCTCGGTGCCATCCTCATAGTCCAGATTGTGCTCGCCGAAGCGCACGTAGAGCACCTTGCGCACACAGTGCGCGGCGGTCAGGACCCAGAGCGGCGCGATCAAGGTGCCGCCGCAAAAGGCCTCCTTGAACCGATTGAAGATTGCCACCTGCCAGGGCCACTCGCCCTTGCGTGCCGCCTTGCCGCCAATGATTTTCAGCAGGTTGTACATGTTGCGGTGGCCAGTGCGCACCAAGCCACATTGCAGCTTCAGAGGAGTGTACTCCGGTCCTCGGTAGCCCCTGCCGCTCATGATGACACTAACATCGTTTCGACTCAGTGCTCCGGAGCCCGACTCCGTGTGCATGCGCCGCATGGCTGTCACTGGACCAGGTCGGGACTCATAGGCGGGCATCTTCTGGACTTGGGCCTGCAGCCACTGCTGGCAGAAGCTGTTCTCCGTGTAGCAGTAGGCGATCTCCCGCAGCACCTCCCGACCGCACTGCTCGCTAATGCGACACTTTCTGCAAAAGATTTCAGGTTAGATGCAAATAAAAAAAAAGGATTGACAACACCCACTTATAGCGCCTCGTGGTGCACTTTGGCGAGCATTTGGTCCAGCGACTCCACTTGGAGTAGACGCGTCTATGACGTGGCATTAATCCTTCTGGCGTGTTCCGCTCCTTTCCAGGAGGTAGCCAGCTAATATTCCGCGCATCTGTAAACTCTTCCGAGTCTGGGTATTGAGCCTCTGGCTCGAAATCGAAATCCTCATACTGGAATATATCGCCCTCTAGTCCACCATTTTCAACGCTACCCAAGGATCGTTGTCCAATATTTAACGATTTGCCTTCTAGGTAATCCTCAAAGTCGTCATCAATGTCATCGAATCTGGGTTTTTGTCGATGCCTCTGCCTGGAATCGTCCTCAGTGTAGTCGACTCTGGGCCTTTGTCTATGCCTCTGCCTAGAGTTGTGATCAATGTAATCGAGTCTTGGCTTTTGCCTGTTCCTCTGCCTGGAATTTTGCTCCGAGCTATGCCGCGAGCTGTGCCTTGGCTTCTGTCTGCGTCGGTGTCGCTTCAGCACAAAAAAGTCGCCCTCATCGTCTTGGAAAGGCGGCTGCGCTTCATCTTCCTCCTCCTGCTCCTCTGTGCTGGATTCAATTGATGGCCAATTCGGTGGCTTTCGATGCACTACCTCAACAGACTCCTCATCCGAAGTGGGATAGGGATCAGGTAGGGGTTGTCGAGGGGGATGCCGAGGAGGATGTGGATGGGGATGAGGCTGTGGCTGAGGATGTGGCTCGAAATACGACGGGGGCTGTGGCTGCGGGTGTGGTTCAGGCTGTGGTGGGGCATATGTGGCAGTCGGATGCGGCTGATAGGATGATCCACCCGCTGCAGCTGCTGCAGCATTTATAATAATTGGTGGCGGATTGGGATAATGTGGTGGAAAATTGGGCTGCGGCACATTGCTTGTTGAATGCCATTTAACTGCCGGATGACAACTGCAAGACAACATAAGTACGAGCAATAAATTTCATTCACTTTTACTCTCCATCAGCCGCAATTTGCACTCACTGCAAGCACTTGTGCTGCTCCACGTGCTTCGTGTGTCCACATTTACGCTTGGCCTTGCAGAAGCGTTCCCGCCGCCTGATGCAATCCTCGTCGCACGTTGTCCACTGCGACCAGCGGCTGAAGGGATGATGATGATTGATCGAGCGCCGTCGGCCAGTCCATCTCTGATGGGCGTGTGGCATGCGCAGCCTGTGCACCCGATGCCCACTGTGCCAATGGCTGCCCTGGTAGCTGGGATGGCCCAAGACGTCGCGCAGCTCGGCGCGTAGGTGACGCTTCGCCTCCTGCACGTGTCCACTCTGTCAAGAAACGAATGGACAAAGACAAATTAGCGAAAGCCGGCTCCAAAATCAAACATCGAAAAGAGTCGCCAACATTTCAATTTGTCTGCCAACGCTCTCTGCACCACACACATACACACACACACATACACTTTTATCACCGTGGATAAATCAGAGCGTAAAAATACATACATGTGTGTGCGTGTGTGTGTGATGCAGGGGCTGCATTACGTTTGAGATGTCATTGCTCTCGTCTGCTCAGACTGTTGCAGTTATGCTTCCAGCCCGAAGACATTCCCCACTGCCTCATCGCTAAAAATAACAGCAATTTCACTTTGGCAGCGTCGGCTGGCATATCCCTTCTTCCTGTCTCGTTCCTATCCAAAATAGGTTTAGACGCCTCCATCACCAACACCACCACCCGCACCACAATTGAAATTGGCTCGGCCGTTACTGCTGCGGTAGATCGTTTCTACATATATACAATTCTTCTACAAGAACTCGTTTAATTGGCCAGTCTACATGGATATCGAGTGCTCTACAAGGCAAGGCTGCACCTGGAATTCCATTTGAGTGTCGCCTATAAGTCAGCCCTAGTTAAGACATATTCAGCCCGATTCGAGTCCCATTCTGTGGCGCTTAAATAACTTTCTAACTGTAACACTAACAAGAGCAATCAAGCGGAAATGCGAACTATTCGAAATATCATTCAAGGGCATACGTATGTATATGTTTACCGTTACGTTTCTCGGGGTCATGTCAACTACTTAATATATCAATGACTGCGGAAAAAGGTCACAATGGCTTGGCTTTATTTGGCCATAGATAATTGTTGCTTAAACAGATTTGTTAATTATTCACAGTCGCAGTCAATCGACAAATTGTCGAGGGAATTGTTGTCGATTGACATCATTATATGTGTGTGAGTGTGTATTTGTATGTCAAGTGGGATAGGCCAATCATTCATTTATATGTACACTTATATCATTCATAAAATTAAACCCACCTGACAGGGAGCCAGCAGCTGCAGCAGCGCCAGCAATTTGATGAAGCTGCAAATTAAACGCATTCCCGCAGATTAATGGTATTCCAGCTGTGAATAGAAGAGAAAAATATTGAATTATATAAAGGTTAAGTCATGCTTAATTAAAAATTTAAACTAATTTCCCTAGCCGCACTAAGGATTGGGCAATAGACTATATTCGCAATGAGCTATTCGCAATGATCTATTTGTAGATCTAACGCAGTCAGATATGAAATTCGCCAATGCTCTTTAGAGGCAATTAACTCGTTTAATTTGGCTCAACTAATCGACTCATTTGCGCACAAAGTACATCAACAGAAGTAGAGACAATCGTCGCTCTACGCACAATGCAACAATTCCGAAATGTTTTATTTTATTTTCTGATTTTTCTGATTTTTTCCGTATGTATTATTTTGTTTTGTAGAGCAGATTGACGCAACTACAAAGCAAAATTATTTGAACTTGCAAGAGACCTTAGGAAGCGGCTATCAAACGCGTGGGCAGCAGATGAAATGAAGATGAAATAAAAGTGAAATTAATTAGCTACATGTTCATGTACATGTAATTACAAGCAGACAGAAAACAAAAATTAAAAACACATATATTCATTATTTATAAAGAAAAAAAAACATCAGAGAAAAAAAACATTCCCGGACCTGAGCACAAAGTTCGCCATTAAAATCAACTTTGAGTTACACAGAGGAATTTAAAGTGGCAACAGAAGCACTTGGTAAATGCCAAAAAAAAAAAAAAAAAAAACAATGTATATTTGTTGTTTTTTATAAAAGCAAGTACAATCGATCTTACGTCAATAGTGAATACTGAATGCTGACTACTGAATGCCGAATGTTGACCAAATTCAGATTCAGATTCAGCTTCAGTTTCAGATGCCCCTGCTCAATCAGATCTTGCCTGCACATGCATTCATATACTTGATCTCAATCTTGGCTGCTCGCGTATATGGCAACGGGCTGTCTGGCCCTTTATGGCGACACGTGCATCCAAATGGCACTAGGGACAGACACACAGACAAACAGACAGACAGACAGACAGACAACCAGCCAGTCAGCCTGCCTGGCTAAAACAGTCGTGCTTTGCTGTTCTGGTTTTTGCCCCATGCCCATTCCCATACCCCACTATATAATGACCATAAAATCCATGAACGAGCCATTCATATGTCAATGTGCAATCGATAAATAGATGCTGGCAATATACACATTGTATATTTCAGTTAAACAATAGAAATGTGAGCGTATCGCTGTGGAAATTCCAGCTGGGCGTTAAAAGCTGCTTTATCATTTATCATATTCACCAAAAGTACCTGCTACCTCCAAGGCATACAGTATTTCCTGCTCTTTACGCTTGAATTCCATTTTGGCTTTAATAATAATGCAACTCTTGGAATAAATGACTTTTTCAAGGATTTTAATTCAATTCTTTAAAATGCAATTAGAGAAAATGGAGTGATCTCTGCTTATAGAAGCAATTTTAATGCCACACTACACACATTCTTTCTAGTTTTTTACTTTTTTACTTTTATTAGAGGCTCACTCTCACTCTCTTCTGACATGTGTATGTGTATCAACATAACACGTTCTTCGTGTCTGTTCACCCCCTTTTTGCTTCTTTTCCCCTTCTACTACTTGGCTTCTCTATTATAATGTTCCATTCCTCCATCTCTCTCTTGAAACTGAACTCTTTCTTTCTTGATCCAGCTTTCTGTTTTCATTCTTCTTCTTTCTAGCCCTCCCTCCTATTGGTCGCTTAATACTAGATTTACTCATTCCCTTTCCATTTCTATCTCCCCGTAATCGTTAACCCATTATTTAAAATTTCACTGCCCTTCTTTGCGATTTTCATGCAAACAAATAATGCTGCCATAGAGTGAAAATGTTCGGGTCATAAATAACAGAATGTAGTTTACGGGTTCATTTTTTAATTGGCGGTCCAAACATGCTTCTGTATCTGTCAGCTCGTCCATCTCGTATGTGCAGCGATCTCATAATTTAAGGTTGAGTAACAGAGCAGCACTTTATTATTTTATGCGTGACTGGATGTACATATATGTGTGTGTGTGTGTGTTTGTTTGTGGGGAATATTCAGCATTATCAGAAAACAAACCACTAGAAAACTATTCTTAAACACCTGACGACATGCCTATCTGTATGTATGTATATATACTATATATATTATATATGTATGTATGTATGTAGCTATGCACATAAAAAACGGCTCTTCTTAATTTAGAACGCAGCGCGACCGCAAATCACCCGCAACAGCAGCAGTAGCAGCAACCGCAGCAACCGCTGTCGACGCAGACGCGGATGCGCAGCCGTCGTGTAAACAAACCGTTCGTCATTTTATAGATATACGTTGTTGCCCCCAACCTCTGAATACCCCACCCAGACTAAGTGGGATTAAAATGTTACAATTTTGCGAGATTAACAATGAAAAACATTTGCCAAATTCCTTGACATGTCGTCATTCGGCTTAAAAAAACTAAATAGAGATTGTGGAAAAGTTGACACCACTTGTTATGACTTTAGTGGGTTTGTTTATGCTTAAGGGTCGCATAGGGTAGCTACGACTACTGGGTATGATATGATATGATATGATTTATATATGATTTATTATGTTCTCTTCCTTTTCTTTTCTATCTTCTTTTATCCTTTATTTCTTTAATCCCTCTTTCCTTATGGTCAATGTATATCTATATATCAATGGTCTATATATATATCTATATATAGCTCTCGGTTTTTCTCCGTCCTTCTATCACTCTCGGTCTGTCTCTATGTATATCTTAAAATTTTTCTACTTTGTTTGTTCGCCCTTCTATGCGATTTTCATCCCCCCAACTATTTATATTAATTTTATTTCAATCAATCTCTAATCTTATTACTTTAAATAGCTGCAAATAAGTAAGCGCATTTGATAGTCGCATAGACACTCAAGCAGCTCACTCTTACTCGAATGAGCTTTTCATGAATGAAAATTTACGCAAAACCAAGAGAACTGAAAAAAATAAACGAACAAGAGAGACAAAAACAGTAGCCGAGCGTTAGTTAAATGCTCGATAGTCATCGGAATTGGTCGCACCACCTGCCACTAGAGGCAGCCGCCAAGTCTGGCACAGCCGCCCGTGGTAGCCAATGGATGCACGGGCGGCAGCCGGGTCTGCGGGGGCACAGCGGGGCGCCAGTTCAACGAAATGCAATTTTAATGACGCTTACGAAAAATAAAATAAAGCACAAAAAATAGTCAGCCGAATCGCCGCTACTGTGGCTTTTTAGTATGTGGGGGTTTGTTGTTGTTTATGTCTCGAGTGGGCAGCGGCTGCTCTGCTCGTGGGCAGTTCTCGTCTTACTATAAGTGTGTATGGACACAGTCACACACACACACACGCGTATACAGGCACACACGCACATGCTGCTACTTATGTGCAGATGGGCAGCCACAACGGAAGTTGAGCAGTTGTCAAGTTGCGACTTTAGTTTATTTATTACTCGCGTGTTTATAGAAGGATGAAAGAAAATCTAAATTGAATTCGTATTCGATTTCGAATTCTAATCGGAATTGGATAACTGATAGCAAACTAACGGAAGTTCAGCAGTTGTCAAGGCGTAGTTACAGTTTAATTACTTGTTGCATTCTAGTTCGTTTATATTCGAATTCGAATTCGATTCGTTATTCGATTCCTTCAGTAAATATACACTAGACTCCGGTGACAAAATAAAACACAAATGTTTATGTATTTATGTTATGTTATATGTATATACATGTGTGAGTATATAAGGCGGATGTTGTTGGCCATAAATCATGATTCGGCGCCGCTGTCGCTGCAATCTCTAAGATGCCTCATTAAATGCGTCGCCACCCCCTGATATAAGCGCCCAGGCAACATATTTATAACACATGCGCTTAATGCACACATCTCTCATATATGCATGCATGCGTTCGTGTGTGTGTGTGTGTGTGTGTGTATGATTTTGCATATTGTTTTTTGTTATGAATGAAACTGTTGATGCACTCATAACTGGCGCTGCACTGGGAGCACATACATATATGTAAACAGACTCACACAGACACATACACGCATATCTGTATGTTTATATAAATTTATAAATATATGCACATATGCCTGCATATATCCGTCAACTCAATGAAATGGAATGACGACATCTATTTAAGGCCGCATCTTTATACATATATTGTCGCTGCGATTTTGATCGCTATTCAATTGAACAATTCCGTTGGCTTGCGCGTACGTTTAATTATCTATTATTGTTATTATTTGCATGCTAATCGATCGAAAGGCGCCTATCAATTAGAGGCTAAGGCTGCCTGCCGGTTACCTGGCCAATACCTGCAAACAGGGTGCGCTCAACCAATTGAAGAAACCACCAAAAACTGCCGCCAAAAATTTGCAAAATTTTTTAAATTTTATTTTCGCACTTTTTTCTAGTTTTTTTTTTTTTAATTTTCTATTTTAGCACGTTTGGTTGTTGTTTTTGCGGTTTTAAAATATTTTTTGTTATATTTTTACATTGGGTTTGGATTTTCATATATAGACCAACAACTCGCTACAGCTTCACCCAAATAAAGCACGCACACACACAGACAACCAACCGATCGCGACGCCGTCTTCTCGAGAACTGAACGCCAACGCCGAGCGCTTCAAACGTTGCGTTCGATGCTGCCAGCGACTATTTTCCTCGCAACATACACGCACACACACAGCAAGAGAGTCACACACACACACAGTTTTTAGCGCTCGCACAGTGGGCCACAGACGTTCGCCGTTGGTTTTGGGAATACTGCGCAAAAAGTGTGAAAACCCCTGAGCATGAAATGGCTTAGAGCGTCGACCTGGTTCCGTAGCCAGTCCCTAAATATGGCCATGGTCATAAACCAGCGCCTAACGGAGAATCCAAATACTATTTCAATAACAATAAAAACAAGCTTGAGCATATAAATTTAATCATATATGTACTTAAACACAAACTGCGATTTGGAACTATTCTTAAAATTGGATAGGATAGCTTAGCTAGTGGTAACAGTGCCACGTGGCCACGCGCTCATTGAGCGGCGATTCGCGCAGCAGACGCAGCTGCTCCATGCCGGATTCGGAGGCGTTGTTAGCCCCGCTGACTATAACCGTGCCCAGCACCAGTTTCTTGGCCATTTTCAGCTTCGTCGCCAGCGTAATGCGTATCACAATATTCTCCAGCTGATCCAGGCTGCGCAATGGCATACAAATGGTCGCCTCATCGCCGCCAGAGCCGTCCCATTTGGTGGATAGCGATGGGAAGAACACGGGCGACTTCCAGGCATCCACATAGATGCCGTGCTCGAACACGGTGGTCTTCACATAGACGCCGCCGCCGGCTGTTGCCTCCAGCTCATCCTTGACCTTGTTGGAGCAGCGCATGCGCGAAGTCGTTACCCGCAGCATGAGCGGACCACCCGCGCCATTGCCCACATTGCTGATGCCCATCTTGCGCTTCACCTCGGCTGTCATGCGCTGCCAATTGTTGGCACCAGCCGCCACTGGAATGTCCTTCGTCTCCGTGGGCTGTGGACTGGGGCCCATGCCCTCGCTCTCGCTGAGATCGCGCACCTCCAGCGCCAACTCCACCACGCCCTTAGGCGCATTCGTGAGCTGTAAAAACAAAACAAAATAACAGCGAGTCAAGGGTCAGTCTCTGCTTTCGTTGCCTCTGTATATGTTTGTCTAGTGTGTTACGCAGTCATCGCAATTTACTTTTGGCCAACTTTCTCTAGGCCACATTAAATGCACATAATAATTTCATTTTTATGCTCGTCTAAGTTATGAAGCTATGCACTCGACACCCGGCTGTCATCCACATGTACATAGTATGCATGTACAATATTTATAAACATATAAAGTTGAGTCAAGTCTTGGTCGAATCTGCCTGTCAACTTGTTTGTTTTGATAGCTTACGTTGTTGCTGCCGCTGCTGCTGCTATTGTTGTTGTTGTTGCTGGGCGTTGTTTTTGAAACGGTTGTGGTTATGTCTTTAATGGGCAGCCAGAGCTCCTCAGTCGAATAGCAGCCGGTGCGAGAATTGCGCTTAAACAGCTTCGGCTCCAGATAGCAAGTGACGGAGCCTAAAGCAAATCAAATTACATATGGAAAATTTAACAGGAATGTAAATATGTATATCAGTAAACTATAATCAAATGAAATACTTTAAAATATTAGTCATATTAATTTATATTATAAATACTATATGCATTGCCTTTTGATAATATTAGTCATATTACTTTATATCATAAATAGTATATACATACCTATATTTCTACGTGATTCACTTATTGTTAACGGTGGCATGGCATCTCTAGGATTCTCTGTTGTCTTCTTGTTCTTTCCATTCTTTTGCGCTGACCCATTTTCAGTCTGGACTTCGCCGGAGGAGAGCCGCTGCACGAAAGTGGAGCTCTTATCTTTTAGGGAGCGATAGGTCTTGTTGAATCGATTGAAACTCTGAAAGGCATTATTTATTTAACCTACATAGATACAAATTAGACGAAAAAGAACAACAGCAACTGTTGACTTACGGCGGCAGGCAGCTCCAGCAGAGCATATACAGTAAACACCACAAATTGGCCGGCGAAAAGTTCTTCAGGTGCGGAAATGTCGCCGCTCGCGCGTCTCTGCACCTGGCGTCTGGAGGAGAAGGCGGAGCCATGCTTCAGGGATGGCCTGTTGGCAGAAAAGAGATCTAAGTAGATGTGATTCTGATGCCATCACGAGATACCTACTTAATGTCTGGCACTAGAGGAAACTTGAAATTTTCATTGAACTTGGGCCATGTGTTGGTCTGAACGCTGCTATCCAAGCGCTTTGTGCCGGGAAACAGTTTAACCTGCAAGAAATCGAAAATGCGATCAATTTTATGCAGTCTATATATATATAAAATATTTATATAGTATTTCTTCAGACAGGTTTTCATTCGCACTCTAAATAAACAAATACAATCGAAGGCTAAAGACAAAAAGCTTTTAATTACCTTTATTAGATAGCCCTGCACGATCTTGAAGCCGAATAGGGAAGGCAGGTGTCGCGCCGCAATCAGGTGCACATTCAACTCGGGCACTCCCGCCGTACTGTTTGAGGCCGAAAAGCTCTGCTGACTGCCTTCCTTTGGGTCGTGCGTCTCAATGGTTATCTGGAAGCCAATCTCCGGTTCCAGGGCGACCGAATTGCGCGATGTGTCTTTGGCATGCTGGCCCGGCAGCAGAGTTCGCAATTTGTTCATGTTGTTCCAGTTAACGCCGCCGCTCGACTGCACTGCACTGCTGTCTTCTGTGCTTTTCCATACGAATGTGTGAAAGGAAGAGGTGATAATTCAATTTATATAAATGATTTCAGAGTTCTTATCTACGGCTCGTACTCCGTATTGATAAACGCTAAACACGAAACGCGAGACGCCAACGCTACTTCGACCGCCCATGCTCAATTGCCACATACGCGCTCTCTGTCTCTCCCACACTCTCAATTGTAATTGAAGTAGTTGCATATATGTATGTATGTGTGTGTGTATGCGTGTGCTTCCAGTGCGCCTTCCACTTATCACATGCTCTGAGCGCAAGCCAGTTAAAAGCTACGTTTGGATAAGCTCTCACTCAAACAGCTGTTCGCGGCAAAGCTTTCGCCTCGCTCCAAATGCTCACCGTCTGTTAGCGCCAGCGCTCTCTTGCAGTGCTCAGAGAGCAGCTGCTCGTGCCGTGCAAGTGCCCAGTAGCGAATTAGCTGCTGACATGCAGCTGGCAGGTTGTTCAGCTTACATGCACACATGTGTAACGAAAGCACACACATTTACATATGCAAATGAATACAATATGCATGCGGGCATTATCTTTAGAATCTGAGCTGTTTATTAGCTGATGGGGATTTTGGCCAAAAGTCTTTGACCCCATAATAAATTACAAGCACACAAACACACTCACGCACAGCTGATGACTAACATTATTAATATTGCGCATACACCCCGTATACCGCCAGAACGTTCCGCACGTGGCGCTTGTCACACTTACACTTTATCAATACAATCGACGACAATACACAGTGTAGCAGCGAGAAAGTCAAAGACAGAGTTTAAAGAAGACCTCGTTTGTCAGACTATTTATATACATAGAATAACTGTGTCGGTCTATGTTCTGCAATTGCTCAACCACTGGCGGCGGCAACTGATGTCGACATGCCTAAGCCCGGGCCACAAAGCGAAACATTTAGCACGGTCACAAAGCGCAACAATTAACAACTCGAGATGATCAACGATCAACGCTAGCCACTCCACGATCGCTGCTCAATGCTCAGCGCTCGCGTTCTGTGTTCTCCGTTCTCCAGCTGATCCAACGCTCAACTGAAATGTAAACTTGGAAATTATTTCGTATGCGGTCATAATAATAAACCATACACAATCATAATGCCGACACACATTCTCGCCACTTTGTACACTCACACACATTCTCTCATATAAACATTGAGTACAAGCAAGCATACTTAAGCACACACATACACACACAAGCACATGAACTTTACGCTTTCGTACCTCGAGCTTTGATTGTCGTTGCTTTCTTGCTCAAAAATGCAATAAGATTCTCTCACCGTCGACGTTGTCGTCGTCTGTGTCACCGTTATCGCATTGCAACAACAATTATGGGCACAACAAAAGTTCTCAGCGACTGAGCTTGTGCGACTCTCTAATGCGCTACGATGGATCAAACAAGTTCTGTGTCGTCGAGATCTCAGCTCTCTCTTCAAACATTCAACAACAATTATTTTCCCGCGATCTACATTAAATAGTTTAATAATTCATAACTTGGTCAAAACTTTAACGGTTTTAATGTCACTTCATTTTGTAGATTAAAGACTTTATATAGGTTTACTTTTCATAATTATGTTCGTGTTTCTATCATCTATATAGAATCTCTTTTGTGGTACACTCATTTAGAGTTCATTTGTTCCTACATATTGCTATAACCGTTTTTATCTATATTGATTTTAAGCTTTAAGGAATTTTTTTGACAAAATGTTTGCCAAAAACATCAACTATAAATATGCCACATCTTTGAAAAATGCCACTCCGTATTTCAAAATTTTATATTAAGACTAACAGCATATTTAATAGGTATACATTTTGATTAGATTGACGTTAAATTGATTAGGTACTTAAGTTGAGCAATAAAATATTGTAGTTTTTTTTAATCGAAATTCTTTATAAAACTTTCCACTTCCAAAAAGTTTACCTTAATTTAAGGTTGAGTTGGTTTACCATTAAAATTAAATATGGAAAAAATTTGAATTTCCTTTTAAGGTAACAATAAAAATGTTTGCTAAACATATGTTATAAGTCTATACTTAATATGGTTATAATGTTTCATACAACAACAGTTGGTGAGAACTTTTGCAATTGCAATAAGAAATTCCAGATTGAGTTAGACTCCCACTTTATATTAATTT